GAATATTGGTGGAGTGTGCTGCCTGTAGTGAGAATTTTATCAATTTTAACTGCAAACCTTTTGTTGGGGAATTAGTGGTCTGAGATGGTTAGTTGTTGTTGAGGCCCATGCACAAATTCCCTAGGTGAATAGGGGTAAATAAGAAGTGATAAAGGGCCAGGAGGGCTGACTGTGGAACATAGTAACCGTATCTTCGATAGTATGGGCCCACAGTCTTGGAAATTTTCTTAGAAATTTGTTTTTATATGTGCATGAAATTTGAGTCTATTATCAAGGAGGGTTCCTAAGAATTTTCCCTCTGTTAGCTTTGTGATAGGTGATCCGTTTATCGTTATGTTAAGAGGTACATCTGTAGCTCTGCTACCAAACTGAATGAAGAGGTTTTGTCAATGTTTAGTGTAAGTTTGTTAGTCCCTCATCCAGGTAGATATTTTCTGTAATTCGGTGTTTACAGTATTGGCTAGCGTGACTGGGCTCGGGTGAGAAAAGGGACGTATGTGGTGTCATCTGCAAAAAGTGTGGGTTTGAGTAATTGCGAAGCATTTGGTGGGTTTCATTTATGTATAGGAGAAAGAGAAGAGGGCCAAGGACACTTCCCTGTGGGATACCAACTGTAATTGGTTGTGCGGAAGAGCTGCCCCATTTGCGTACACATATTGGCTTCTGTTGCTGAGGTAAGACTTGAGGTAGTTGAGGGAGTGCCCTCTAAAAACCATAGCGTGCCCAATTTTACGTGGAGCAAGTCATGGTCAAACTGTATCAAAAGCTTTACGTAAGTCAATGAAGATCCCCAGTGGGACTTCTTTTTTTTCTATTGCAGTGTATATATTTTTCAAGAAATGTGTTTTAATAGCATCATTAGTATTTTTATTAGGCCTTAATCCAAATTGGCGGGGGTTGAGAATGTTAGGGGAGATGAGGTAGGAGTAGATTCTTTTATGAATTAATTTTTCGAAGATTTTTGAGAGGGGGTTTGTAAACTGGATATTGGCCTATAGTTATTCAACTCTGTTTGGTCTCCTCCTTTATGGATCGGGGTGACCCTTGCTATTTTGAGAACTGTAGGGAAGGTGGAGGATTAAAATGGATTTGTTAAAGAGTGTTGCAATGATTGGTGATAGTACTTGTGACGCTTTTTTGTATATAAAGGGTGGTAAGGTATTTAAATCTCCTGCCTTGTTTTTCAGTGCGTTGATAATAAGGAGACTTCATAGGGGTTTAGTCGGAGCTAGGAACAGTGTGTTCGGGTAGTTGCCAGTGAGGTAGTCATTTGGTGGGGTATCTGAGCTTGGGATAATATTGGAAAGGGTTTTTTGACCTTTAGTGGAGAGAAATCATTGAGTCTGTTTGCTGTTTCTGTTGTGGGAGTTGGGGTTCATCTGATTTGCTAATTTTATTTCGCTCTGTCGTGATATTTTTTTTTGTTCCAGAATTTCTGATAGGGTTTCCAGGTCTTTTTTATATCACTCGTAAGTTGGATAATCTGTTCTCATAATACAATTTTTTTTGCCCTTCTTATCAGGCTGGTTAGGATTGACGAGTAACGTTTTGTTTGGTCTCTGGTTATGTGACCCCATTCTGTACTGTTTTTCATATCGGTGTTTGTATTTATGGATTTGAGAATGCTGGTTGTTAGCCAGGGACTGTTCAGTCTCTTAGCTGTCATCTGTTTAGTTTTTTAGGGCAGTGCTTGTTATAAGGTATTGGGTCTTTTTTAGAAAATTATTAAAACTTTCGTCAATATCTGTATAGATTTCTAGCTCAGTGTGCCAGTCATGTTTTTTTACTGCTGTTGTGAAGTTATTAATGGCTGCCCTCATTGTAAAGGGTCTGAAGGTGACTTTAGTAGTGTCTTGGGGTATTTTTACCAGAGTTTTATGAGGAAAGTAGGGTAGTGGTCTGTGGTATTATCTGTAATTATGCCTGATTTTAAAGGGTATGGTGTTGGTCCAGATGTGGTAAAGTGGGGGAAACACTAGTCTCTGTAACTCTTGTAGGTTTTTAAATTACTGTTGGTAGCAACATGCAGTTACTCATTGTGTTTGTGAATTCAGTAACGTGGGGGTTCTGGTCTTGCAGGAGATTTAAAATTGAAGTCACCTGAGAGTGTAAGTGATCTTTGTTCATGCGTGAATCAGTTATCATACTTCCTAGGTTTTGACAAATTTGGGGGCTAATGTTGGATTGGAATTCTGTAGATGTTTATCACTGTGAGAGGTTTTTGTAGGTATTTGGATTTGAATTTACTATTATATTTTTCCCCATGTTCACCCCCTTGTGAAAGTATTAGTGATACATTCTAGTTGGTCTGAGTATTTATATAGCTGTGCCCCCCCCTTGTTGGTCTGGCCTACAGTTGTGTATGGCTGTGAAACCCAGGAATGGCATAGACATCTGTAGTATTAGGCTTTAGCCAGGTTTCAGTTAGTGTAATGATGGACATATTGGCATGCAAGGAATTTAGTAATGCTAGGAGGTCATCATAATGCTTGTTTAAAGATCTGATATTGTACTTAAAGATAGTTATGTTGTTGTTGGCTCTGAGAAGTGCCTTTGATTGTTCTGCTGTGTAGTAATTACAGTAACTGTTTGAATCATTTAAGTCATTAAATAAGAGGTTGTATCAGGATCAATGCTTGTAATCAAAAAGATTTGTAGTGAGTCTACAGTTAGAATTAAGTAAAAAATAAAGTAAAAATTCTAAAGCTAAAAAAATAGCACTTGAATTATTTAACAAATGTAAAAAATAATGAGCTAAGGTAGTTTTTTTAAAGCTAAAATAAAGGAGACAATATAAAAGGGACTAAAATAATTTGTGGTGAACAAAAAAAGTGATGATCAAATAATGGAGCTTGGGGAAAATGATAGTAGGTAGTACTTTAAAGGTAATTCTTTAAAGTTAGAATTATAATATAAAATTATAATATAAAAGGGACTAATTATAAGTTGTGGGTGAACAATAAAGTGGTAAGCAAATAAATGAGCTTTGGGGTATAATGGCAAAATAGTGAACTTATTAACTTTAGCACCTGAGAATAGCACCTTGATTAGTTAACCCAAATTTCGAATATTGATCTAAGGTAGTTATATTTAAAGCTAAAATAAAGGACAAAAAAATATTAAGGGACTACAATTAAGTAATGGTAAACAAGTTTAAATGGAAAAGATGTCACTATGAGATAAATTTGGTTTAGGAGTAAGATCTGATTTGTAATTTTAAATAAGTTGAGCATTTTTTTGCACAATAAAAGTAAAATAAAAAATGAGGTAGTTGGTACTAGCTAACAAAAAAATAGTTTTGGTACTTGCAAAAAAGTAATTGGAATATACACTAATTGCACACACAATAAAAAGTGACTAAAAAAACAAGTAGTGGTAAACAAAATTAAATGGACAAGTAAGAACAATGAATAATGGTAATGTCTTGGTTATAATATGATAGTAAGATGGTAGACAGGTACAAAGGATAAATATAAAGGTTGGAGTTGAATATACAAACTTGAAAATTTGGGAACAAAATGTTATGGGAAAGTATAAAAAAAAATGTTTAATGTACAAAAGTAAAATTGACTGGTAGTAAATATGGTGTTTAATTTAAAAATTTTTGTAAGTAAAAAATGATTACAAAAAAAGTGAAAAAGTAATGTTTATTTCATTCAATATTGCATGGTAGTTATACTAGAGGTTTTTATGGCAGTACAAGGTAATAAGAGTATCTAAGATAGTAAATGGTTATAAAACAGGTAAAGGTAATTAGATAAGTAATGGTTATTAAATGATCAAAAATGTTAAGAGTAAATTGAAATTATAGTAAGAATGATAATTATTAATTTTAGTAGGTAATATCAATTGATAGTATTTAAAAAAAATATGAGGTAGTAAATGGACAGAGAAAGTATCAATTCAGCTAATGTTTAAGCAAACAATAGTAAATAAGAAAATTACATAAGGTGACTTATGCTTACTAGTAAAATCACAAAATGAGGTAGTTGATTATTTAAACACTAAGAGATTGTACAATGAAATTTGAACAATAATGGAGCAAAACATACACTACAAACTTTCGTTTTTCTTTTTGGATCACCTGCCCTGGTGGGATGCGGCCGGTGTGTTGAACTTTATATTTATTTATATTATTATTATTATTATTATTATTATTATTATTATTATTATTATAATTATTATTATTATTATTACATTCATAGTGAGTGCTATACCCGGAGTAATTATACAACGCCTAGCGGGATGAAAGACAAGCAGGCTTAAAGAAGGGAAGATCAGGTTTGACTCCTTGGATCAAGATCCCTTCACCGGCAGCAAGGAACTCCTTGTGAACATGATAAACTCAGTGCCTGAGCACCATCCTGTGTCATACAAGCACAGTGACCTGTTGCTCACACCTGGTAAAATGTTGTGTAGACGAGGGCAGGTGAACAATGACAGTGACCAAACACCAGAGATGTCAAAATTAACCACGACTCTTCACCTGGAGGCCATTGTATGTCTCCAGCCTCTCTCTGCCACGTTATTTCTACCACTGTTGCCTAACAGAAATTGCTATGTGGATAACTTTTTAGGGTTTTAATAGTTTTAAAACTTTCTTTTTTTTTTGGTTCATTGAGCAGTGAAAAGGTTTGATTTGGGTTCTGAAAGGGAAGTGATGGTGTTTAATTAAAGACGATACACAGTTTGCCTGGACGCTGTGCTTTGCTAGAGCTTTAAGAACGAGAGGCGTAAGCCTCTGTGTCATGAATATACTGTATATTGCAAGCACTGAAATATTTATTGTGAAAAATAGATATGTAGCCGAATGTGTAAAAAGTGTGGAGAGGCGTGCAGTGCCTCGCCTTGTAGCTGTGCCATGTGCCCAAGGTGCCACGTACCTTGTCATGTGTTTCATACCTTTAATTGTGTGTTTTTGGACCCTATATCCAAATTTATTGTAGGTGAAGTAGGAAGGTCGTAACCCACAAGGGAAGGTGATCTGCACATGCGCAGTAGACTTTCTTTTGTCCGAAAAACCCGATGGCCGACAAACATTGAGCAGTGGTCGCCAGCCCCGCTCTCCCGCGCCTTTTCCCCCTAATTAAATTAAAAAATACACAAAAATTATCGCATTTTTTAGCTAGTTTTAGTCGAGGAGCACCCAGAGAATGCCTTCAGACGTGGAAGAGACCGAGTATCCAGGTAAGTGAGTTATAACGACAAGTTTTGTGTGAGGATTGTTTGAATGGGCCGGCGTGAGGCTGTGTGCCTCAGGAAAATGGACCTTATTACTGTTTATAGTGTAATTGTGTGGTAATCCATAGCGTTGGAGGGTTCTTGAGCAGGCGGGCAGTGAGGCTGGGGCCGTGCAAGCTGTCTGATCTTAGCTTGTTTAGTGAAATTTTAGATTTTGATGCCCTAGGCCGACGCAAGTCTAAAAGAGGGTCGGCTAGTCAGCGACGAATGTTGCCACAGGTTCTGGTGTTGACCCACCGTCGCTGACTAGCCGACCCTGCTTATCCTGTTCTAGAATCCTCTCCCTTGACGAAAAAAGCGTTTCACAAACACTTATTACACACACTTGAGGTAAACATCACCAGGAAGCTGCTGAAAGAATGGCTATGGTGGTGGTAGACGTTAGTGAAGGTGAACGTTTGCAAGAGTCGCTGACGCAGCCTGGCCGACCCTCACGTTTTTGGCGCGCCATTTATTTCTCATCTGTGAACACTCAGACTGAATCTCAGGTTATGTCGAGGACTTTCTCTTTCTACGCTCTCTAGTTTAATCCTTCCTTTAATCTTGAAAAAAATATAATTGAAACTTGCTCCTCGGCGGAAATTAGACATTGTTTTATATATTACGACACAAGTTGTGGGTCTACAGTAATTTCTACAGTGGAACCCCAGTGGAAATGTTACTTTGACCTTTTTTGGGGGGGTTATCCTTAATTTACACTAAGTATGATAACTGTACTTTTGCCTAAATACTCACTGGCCCATGCCTGGCAGGTCTAACTCGCACCCACTCATGTATCCGACCAACCTATATTTAAAACTGCTTGACGTTTTATGCCTCAATGACGCTGTCTTTGTTCCTTCCACTCGTGGAACAATTGCCAGACCAGTACTTGCCAATATCCTTTCTAAATCTGAATTTCTGTAGCATGAATCCATTTCTGCGAGTCATCAACATTTATATCTATGACCCTTCTGGGTTTAGCTCTTAGTTTTGATCGTAATAATAAATTCCTTTTGTGTATGTTAATCATATTTTCCCAAATTGTACATCTTTCCAGATGGCAAATTCGGTACCCTCAACCTTTGTCCACATAAAAGGTTTTTGATACATGGGATCTGATTTACCTCCCACTTCCCTCGGCTCTGACTTCTTGGGCATAGCGCTTCTCACTGACTATCCCCTCAAGGAAGGTTCCTTGATGTTGGTGAGGGGCTCTTGATTTAGGGAATTGGAACTGTGCTCCAGTTCCCCGAATTAAGCCTGAATGCCTTCCACATCCCCCCCCCCCCCCCAGGCGCTGTATAATCCTCCGGGTTTAACGCTTCCCCCTTGATTATAATAATCTCACTGACTATAATAATAATTAGTGCATTTATGCACATTCTGCAAAATGTAGACCAGAGCTGTGCAGCATAATCTAAAAGAGGTATTACTGAAGCTACTGTATATCAAATTGTATAACCTTAAGACTTTACTATTTAGACTTTTTTGATAGGAAGTCAAGACTACTAGCTTTATTAAGAACAGTTATGCATTGTTGTTGATTTGGCTTTAAATTTTTTGCTAACCAGAACTTCAAATTTTTTTTTACACTTAGTTTGATTAAACTTTACAGTATTGGGCAAATTTTATGTATCGGTTATTTTTTTCTTGGCTTAAAACCTCAAATTTATCTGCATTGAACCACATCCTACCACTTCTTCAATCACATCAACCTGGTGTCGACATCAGAAATTATAGAATCGGACGGCTTATTTTAGTGTCAGGGGCAAACTTAAGTCTTTTTTTCTCTCATTTATGTTATCTTATAGGGTCCCAATACTGGCCCTTGTGGTACACTACTATTAAAACAGGTCCCCAGTCTGATTTCTTTCCACTTTTGCGGCCGCGTGCACACGCGCACATACACGCGCGCGCGCGCACGCGCACACGCCGCGCGCGCACGCACACACACACACACACACACACACACACACACACACACACACACACACACACACACACACACACACACACACACACACACACACACACACACACACACACTCGACCCCCGCAACCTCAACTAGGTGAGTACCCCACACACACACTCACCCCCGCAACCTCAACTAGGGGTACACCAACACACCACACACACAACACCACACACACACACACCACCACACACACCCCACAACACACCCAAAAACACACGCGCGCGCCGCACACACGCGCGCACGCACACACGCCGGGCCCCGCGCCGCCACGCACGGCACACGCACGCCACCACGCACCGCACACACGCGCGCCCACACCACAACACGCGCGCACAGCACGCACACCCGACACGCACGCACACCACCAACGACCACACACAACACACACCACACACACCACACACAGCACACACACGACACACCCACACACGCACACACACGCCACACGCACACACGCCGCACACACACACACACACACACACACCCACACCACACACACACAACACACACACGCGCGCGCGCACACCCACCCACCCCCCACACAACCACCAAACCCACCACCCCACACACCCCCACCCCCACACACACCACCCCACCCCACCACCCCACCCCCACACCCCACCAACCCAACACACCCCCCCACCCCCAACCACACCACCCCCCACCCACACCACCACCACCACCACACAAACCCCCACCCAACACACCAAACCCCCACCAACCACCACCCCCCCACCAAACCCACCACCACCACCACACACACCACCCCCCCCCACCCCCACCACACCACCCCCAAAACACCACCCCCGCACACACCCCCACCCAACACCCCCCCCCACACACCCCCACCGCACACACCCCCACCCACACACCCCACCCCCACACCACCCCGCACCACCCCCCCGCACACACCACCACCGCCCACCCCCCCCCCCCCCCCCCCCACCCCACCACCACCCACCCCCCCCCCCCCCCCCCCCACCCCCCCACCACCCCACCCCCCCCACCCCACCACCCCCCCCCCCCCACCCACCCCCCACCCCCACCCCCCCCCCCCCAACACCCCACAACCCCACCCACACACCACACCAACCACACCCACACACACCCCACCACACACACACCACACACACCACACCACACCACACACCACACACACACCACACACACCCCACACCCCCACACACACACACCACACACACACACACCACACACCACACACCAAAACACACACCACACACACACACACACACACACACACACACAACACACCACACACACACACACACACCACACACACACACCCACCACACACACCACACACAAAACACCACACACACACCACACACACACCACACACACACACCACACACACACACACACACACACACACACACAACACACACCACACACACCACACACACCACACACACCACACACACACAAACCTACTGTGTCACAAACCTACTGGAGTTCTATGACATGGTGACAGCAGTAAGACAAGAGAGAGAGGGTGGGTGGATTGCATTTTCTTGGACTGCAAGAAGGCGTTTGACACAGTTCCACACAAGAGATTGGTGCAAAAACTGGAGGACCAAGCAGGGATAACAGGGAAGGCACTACAATGGATCAGGGAATACTTGTCAGGAAGACAGCAGCGAGTCATGGTACGTGGCGAGGTGTCAGAGTGGGCACCTGTGACCAGCGGGGTCCGCAGGGGTCAGTCCTAGGACCAGTGCTGTTTCTGGTATTGTGAACGACATGACGGAAGGAAAAAGACTCTGAGGTGTCCCTGTTTGCAGATGACGTGAAGTTGATGAGAAGAATACACTCGATCGAAGACCAGGCAGAACTACAAAGGATCTGGACAGGCTGCAGAACTGGTCCAGCAATTGGCTCCTGGAGTTCAATCCCACCAAGTGCAAAGTCATGAAGATTGGGGAAGGGCAAAGAAGGCCGCAAACGGAGTACAGTCTAGGGGGTCAGAGACTACAAACCTCACTCAAGGAAAAAGATCTTGGGGTGAGTATAACACCAGGCACTCTCCTGAAGCGCACATCAACCAAATAACTGCTGCAGCATATGGGCGCCTAGCAAACCTCAGAACAGCATTCCGACATCTTAATAAGGAATCGTTCAGGACCCTGTACACCGTATACGTTAGGCCCATATTGGAGTATGCGGCACCAGTTTGGAACCCACACCTAGCCCAAACACGTAAAGAAACTAGAGAAAGTGCAAAGGTTTGCAACAAGACTAGTCCCAGAGCTAAGAGGTATGTCCTACGAGGAGAGGTTAAGGGAAATCAACCTGACGACACTGGAGGACAGGAGAGATAGGGGGACATGATAACGACATACAAAATACTGAGAGGAATTGACAAGGTGGACAAAAACAGGATGTTCCAGAGATTGGACACAGTAACAAGGGGACACAGTTGGAAGCTAAAGACACAGATGAATCACAGGGATGTTAGGAAGTATTTCTTCAGCCACAGAGTAGTCAGTAAGTGGAATAGTTTGGGAAGCGATGTAGTGGAGGCAGGATCCATACATAGCTTTAAGCAGAGGTACGATAAAGCTCACGGCTCAGGAGAGTGACCTAGTAGCGATCAGTGAAGAGGCGGGGCCAGGAGCTCGGACTCGACCCCCGCAACCTCAACTAGGTGAGTACAACTAGGTGAGTACACACACACCCACACACACCACACCCACACACACCACACCCACACACACCACACCACACACACCACACACCACACACACCACACACACCACACACACCACACACACCCACACACACCACACACACCACACACACCACACACACCCCACACACACACACACACAACACACACACACACACACACACACACCACACACACACACACACACACACACACACACACCATGTAGACAGCCTGTACTGTCAGAACACAGCCTAGCCGTCTGCTCTGACTAGTTCATATTTCGCGGCATTTTAGGTGCT